ACTTCTGGGTATTTATTTGAAGATCTCCAAAACACTAATTGAAATAGGCATATGAACCAATATGTTCATTGCAGCACTATTTATGATTGGCAAGCTATGGAAGCAACCTAAGTATCCATCAGTAGATGAGTGGATAAAGAAGAAGTGATGCATATATAGAATGGAATATGACTCAGCCATAAAAAAAGGTTGAAATCTTGTCATCTCAACAACATGGATGTACCTAGAGGGTATTATGCTGAGTGAAATAAGTCAGACAAAGACAATACCATATAATTTTACTTATATGTGGAATGTAGAAAACAAAACAGAAACAGACTCATAGATGCAGAGACTATTTTGGTGGTTGCCAGATTGGAGAGGGTTGGGAGGATGGGTGAAAAGGTGAATGAATTAAGAATACAAATTGGACTAGACAAAGAACATGTATGAATGACCCATGGACATGGACAACAGAGTGGGAATTGACTGTAGGAGTCGGGGGTGGGGGTGGAATGGGTGGATGGGGGTAAAGGGGGAAAAAATTGAGACAAGTGTAATAGAATAAACATGATTTATAAATTAAAAAAATACAGATTGGTAGTTCTAGAATAGTCATGGGGATGTGAAGTAAAACATACTAAAATAAAGAATACATAAAGCAAGAGGCAGAAACATTGTTATCACCACAAAGGAGGAATTTTTCTAGTATGTACCTTGAAGCAGAGTAGAGGGAAATGGGAGCCAACACCTGACGTATGAAGATAAGCTGTGTATGATAATTATGCTGATTTTAAATGGTCTAAGGAAATTAATATTACAGTAGAAATTATTGTGATTCAACATAGCTTTCAGTCATTTTATTATATCTGTTAGACATGATTTCATATAATGTCTTGTTTTAGTTCCAAAGGAGAATATGACCAGGTGAGCTTTTGTCCTAGACCCCATATTGAAGGATTTATGTGTCGAGCACTGCTTTAAAATGAATTTTCTTTCTAGGTTTAATCCTCTTAGAATTAGAATGGGAAGGAACCTAAGACATCATTTATGGTTCTCTTCATTTTATGTATTAAGGAATAAGTGTGGAGAGGTCAAATGATTTGCTCAATAGCTGCAAGGCCAAAGTAGTGACAATGTAATTTAGAAACAAGGTGTTCATTCTTCCTATACATGTGAGTGGGTGTAATTGACTGTGATTGTGTTGTTTAGGCAATTCGTATTCTAGTTGTATTGGGAAGTAGTATACAATAAAAACGCAGGCTCTATTATCTGACAAAGTTAGTTATACTCTGTGTCTGCCATAAACAGGCAGAATGACTTGGGAAGCTTCCTTTGTTTCTCAGATCCTTGCTGTTGTTCACATGAGGAAGGAAAGGAAATTTTGTGGTCCTGAATGAAGGCAGAACCTGAAACTGCACCCTAAAGCTCTAGCCCCTGTTCTCCAAAGCTAAACCTTGTCTTCTTTATTCATTGTTTTGTGTTCACTTGTCCTTTGGATATGAGTGCTTTCTCAATGTAGAGTTGGAATCTAGATCAGCTTCTTTTAATTTCAACACTGTATAGTTTCATGAATTTTAAAGGCCTAGTTTGTTGTGGCCTAATGTGTGTAAATTCTCTAAGCCATTTTAAGGGAACTCTGAGTCATTGACTTAGAAATAAATGTATTCCTCTAATTATTCACCTAGTGTGTGTTCTTTGTCAGGCATTGGGGATAACATAGATTAAGTCCATCACCACTGAAATATCAAATAATGAGATCATGCCAAATACTAAGTAGGACCCAATTCTTAGTTTGTGAGGGGGTGAAGGCCATATCTTGTGCTAGCTTTTCAATGTTTGTAGTCGAGGTAGAGGGATACATTTTCATTATGTGAAAGAAATCATTTGATCCACTAATGCTTACTTTAAACAACATTTAAAACCGACAGGAATTGCATTAGTTTTATAAAAAGAAACCAAGATTTTAACTTATGCTAAGAAAAAAGGAGAAGGCCAAATACATAATGAAAAGCATATTCATTGGACAATATCCAGTTTTTTGTTATTAAATAGCATTTGTTATTTTCTGATTATAAAAGCGATATAAGATCATTTGAATATTTTTAAGGAGCATATCGTTTACATTATTTTTAGAGATAGAGGTAATACCCAGTTTCTATACCTGTGTAAAAGTTATGATATTGATTCACTTGAATCTTAATTATTCACTTAGCTTATTATTTCGTGAGGATAGTCACTACCAAGTGAAATAAATGGACTGGTTCTAGGGTATAAGGTATTTTTTTAACACTATCAAAATGTAAATGGACATTCAAAATGTAAGTGGATATACATTTCCACATTGTTTTAGAAAAAGGCTGTATGACTTTATGCTGCTACACAGTGTGAGTCGTCTTGCACTGTGGAGCTCATTTTTCTTCAGTAGGCGTCAAGTCCTTCCTGTTTCTGTAGGGATGGGGCTGAGGGATCTAACACAGTACAGCTGTTTGGAACTGAATGAAGCTGGACTGAGGAACATTTTAGCACTTTAAACAATAAACACAAAGTGAAAATTGCAGTTAATTTCCTTTTTTCCCCCTGATTAAGCTTAATTTTTATAAAATTTTAATATAAGGAGACTGAAGGGCTTTGGGAACAGCCCAAATTATAGGAGGTAAGGCTGCCCTCCCAGGGCCACTGTGCTCGGCCTCCTCCTCCCTCTGCTCCGTGCACCAGGGCGTCACTGACCCAATGCTCCTTTTCTAGCACGCAAGTCAAGAGATTTGTAAAACCAGCCTTGGCTGGTGTGGCTCAGTGGATTGAGTGCCAGCCTGTGAACCGAAAGGTTTGATTCCCATTTTGATTCCCAGTCAGGGCACAGGCCTGAGTTGTGGGCCAGGTCCCCAGTGGGAGGGCACACGAGAGGCACCTACACATTGACATGTCTCCCCCTTTCTTTCTTTTTCCCTTCCCCTCTCTCTAAAAATAAATAAGTAAAATCTTTAAAAAAAGAGGAGAGAGATATATTAAACCAGGTTTCGTTTTGTTTCGTTTTGTTTTGTTGGAAATAAGAAGGCATTGTATCCTGTATCAAATATTTATATAAGTAGGCAGTTGATTTCTTCATTTAAATCTGTCTTTTGAGATGCAAATTAGATGTGGGTAGGGAGGCAGGGGAGGTGCATCCCCCTTTTCCAGGAAAATGGTCAAGTGCAAGGTTCTATCTGAACAGACATCTTATTGTTTTTCTCTAGTAAGCCTTCATGTATTTCTTTAATCTAATTTTTATTTAATGTTATAAAATTCTAAAGTAGCCTATTGGGTATTTAGGGGTTTCTCATGAAGGAGCTTTATAAAAATTTTATCATTTAGAAAATTGCAGTTATGTAGTTCAATTAAATGTAGTTGTTAAGCAAACTTGATGTCTTACGATGAAATAAATTGTGCATAGCAAGTGTGTCTTGTGTGTAGATCCTTGTATAGCCAGTCTCTTTAATGTACATGCTCATTTCAAAAATAAAAATACACTTACTTGTTTTTAAAGGTGTAGGGTATTTGTTTTGTTTGTTTTTGTTTTCTCTAAAGTTCCTTAGAGTTTAGGCATAGGAATCATTCAGAAAATACCCTTTTATTCTAATACATCAGAGACCTGAAATATTTCATTTACTTTTCAGTAAAGCTGTCAGTTGTAATCTGCAATTTTAAAAAAAACTAATAAAACAAATCCTCATTTCAGAATTTAAACCTTATTGAGTGTAATTCACTGGCACTGTGAGTTTATTATTCTCCTGCAGTTTGACGGGCCTCCAGTTGTAATTGTGTTGACCCTTCAATGCATTAAATCTCCCCAGTGCTTATCAGACTGGGAGAGATAAGTCTACAATTTGGAACTTCATTAAATATCTCATTTATATTAAACAGATGATAGCTTCTTACAAAAATTGTAATTTGTTCAGGCAAAGGAACTGTGATAATGGTGGTTTCATCTGTGTGGAAAGTGTAGTCTCCTCCTCAGCTTGGCCGTGCTGTTCCGGGTTGCCCTGCCCCCCAAGCACCCTCTCCCTCTGGCCTGAGGCAGCATCATCGTGTCCTAAGATATTAGTCCATGGGGCTCACCTCAGAGGCCACATTGAGGGAGTGTAGTTAAATGTGCTTTGTTCCTCCTTGAAGCAGATTTGTTTCAAGGCCTTACAAACCTAGGATTTTATTCATATTATTTTTATGAAGACTATAACTTACAAAGTACTGCTGTTTGAAAGAATGCCACATACAATTTTATTTATGGTGATAGAACTTGACCTATATTCTTTGCTTATTTGGTAGATTGTATATGTTTGTGAAATACACATCTTGGCCTGTTTCATTAGAATATTTGGTTCTCACTTCTATATTTGCATATTATGAAAGTGCTTTTCTCAGTTATTCACTATCTCATTCTTAAGATTACAATCACAGAATGGTGATAATTTATAATGTCTAACAGAAGAAATTTAGGCTCAGTGTATTGTTCAAGACACCTGAGCTAACAAGTGACCGTTAAGTCTTTTAGGATGACTAGTAATCTTACTGGCACGCACACATAAATGTGTGCTTATTATTTTGTGTACTTAACATACCATAGGTATAAAAGTACAGTTAAGTTCCAGCCCAGCTTCCATTCTGATAAAGTATGCCCTGTGCAGAGCAACATCTTATGAAGAATTTTGAATTAAATCATAACTTAAATTGACTTCAACAGATACTAACAGTCAGACTGAAACAATAAGCAACAAGATAAGTTTTTTTAAAAGAAGCTTTTAGTACACACATTCTTTTTCTAGTGGTTGAAATCTGACAACTTCCTGGGAGGCACAGTGTAAAGTGGAGCAGAAAGTCAGTCATTAGGCAGAGCTGTCATCACAAATCACTTTGTTCCAGGGTGAAAAGTTCTAGTGCATGTGGTACCCAGTTGGATGCAGGCCTTGGGCAAGTTGTTATAATCCCCTCACGCTGCTAATGGGCCTCCAGTCCTGACTCTCCCTTGCCCCCTTTCTCTACAGCTGAAGTCACCTGGGAGCCCCTCTGGACCTGAGCTGCCCATTGAAACAGTGCTGGATGATAGAGAACGAAGAATTTCCCATTCCCTCTACAGTGGGATTGAGGGGCTTGATGAATCCCCCACAAGAAATGCTGCACTCAGTAGGATAATGGGTGAGTCAGGTAAAACTTTATCATATTTTAATGCTTTTGTTGGTTTACGGAGGGGTTATTAATGTAATATTAATGTAAAGGAGGGCCATGTTTTGAAGAGGAAAAGAGCAGGTTTATTATAATCACTCAGGAAGTGTTAAGGTGAAGAGAGGAATCAATACATTGATTTTGTTAAGTAAGTTTCAGATCCTGTAATATGGGAAGAGAAAAAAAGAAAGGAATCCTATGGAAATGTTTTCTAGTGATCAAGATATTCTTAGCTTTTTGGAGATAAGTGAAGCTGTATTTTTTTTTTAAATAAAAATTTAACAGTTTATGGCAAGGAGGCTTCAAAAAATCATATATCATTCACAGTAGTGCTGTTTGGAAGGCGAGAAAAAAATCTTTACCTACATATATACATGTGCATAAGATCCTCACATTTATTTGGTTTGTACTTAATAGGGGCGTACCATTTTTTACTTGCATCTCTACTTTCTTAAAGCCTTCATTTTAAAATCGTGAAATGAGTTTTTTGCATCCTTTGTTTGGATTCAACACCGCGCTGTGTGCACAGTCCCCCGGGGGTAGTGAAGTTGTTCGCATGTGCTCAGTAGCAGTGGAGCTTCTCCTAACAGATCCAGTTATTGAAGACTTGCTTTGCCACAGGACTGGTTGCATGTACTGTGTTACTCATTTTGGGATTACCTTGGGAGAGTTTTCAAATTTAAAGCACAGCAAGCTGTTTTGATTAAAATAGCCCCTGACATAAAACATTTTTATTGCTGCTATGTTTTGCTAATATAAAGTAAAACCCTAAATTTTACTCCATTTTGATTATATTAAGTACAGATTTAATTTAAAGTTTCCAATCTGAAGCTTCATTAGAGGAAGAATTTACTTCATTATCAGTGGATGTATATGGAAAGCCTGCTATTGGCAGGCACGGTGTACACTTTTCTTGTAGATAGAAATGTGAATAGAAACGATCTCTGCCTTCAAAGAACTTTCTACTGGGCATGATAGGAAAAATACATAAACATGACTGCTAGAATTTTCTGTTCTTACTCCTCAGATCCCTGTAGCTTTCTAGTTCGGAATAATTGCTACATTCTCAATTATCTTGGTACACATAGAATTTAGACATGCCAACTGTAGTTTTATTTTGTCACAATTCTTCCTTTTTGCCTGCTTGGCATAGTGAAAGCAGGGGAAGGATGTTAAAGATATTGTGTGCCTGTTAGGTGACAGGCATCCCACGTAATTTATCCGATCTCTGCCTATTATTAGTGATCACTGTCTTCACTGCTATTGGATTTCCCATATTGTCTTGGATTTGGTATAAAACTTTATCTCTGTTAAATACTTTTTTATTGATGAAAATTCAGAGCCCTTGAGAGAGAGAGTGCATGTGTCCCTGGATCTGTGTGTATACAAAGTGATATGCTGTAATTTCCCGTTTATTATAGGAACATAGGACTTGCCATACTGAATCACACCATTGGCCCACCAGTTCCTGTAACCGGCGTCCTGCCTCCAATCCCTGATGCTTCAGAGGAAGGCGAAAAACTAAAACTAAAAAACTAAAAAAAAACCAAACCCAAATTCACCTAACTTTTTGAAATGCTGTATATATGGGTTGTGGATTCCTTCACTTTCTTTATAGTCTGTTGCCCTGATTTTGTCAGCCATGGATTCATTAGTCTGCTTACATTTGCATTATAGTTGGCATTTTTCCCCCTTCCCTCTGCTAGAGATGTAATGGACTTTCAAAACTCTAGATGCTTCTCCCAGGGTAGTAACTTCCCTCCCAGCTGTGTGTTTTGTGATGTACTGTGCATGCTCTTTTGGGCTGGGGGGTGGCATACTCTTTACGTTAGATAGGCTGTATTGATGTTGAATGATTTGGGTTTTTTCTTAAGACAGTTTCTTTACATGTTGTACTGGAAACTAGGGATCCCATATAGTTTTCCCCTGAGAAATGCATGTACTTAGATCTATCTTTAGTTTTGCAAACTTGAGAATTCTTCAGTCTTTGTTGGTTCCCATTCCAGTATCATTGGCCCTAACACACAAATACTGTTTGTTAAGTCAGTTCTGCCTTAAAGTTACAAATCCTACAAAAGATGTTACCTTGCAACAAAATTCCAAAACAAGATATCAAATATAAGATATTAGAGCACTGAATTTCTATCAAGCTACACCAATAGCAATAGTATTTATTGGTTTGCATAGTATCTAGGTACATGAAAATTTCTCAGACAAATCTTGTTTGGTTGATGGTTATCTTCTATGCTTTTAGAATAACTCGTGTAGACAGTGGTGGAGGTGGTAGTATTTACTTCATGATCTTAAAACTTAGTATTGAAATTCTAGCTGACTACACTAAGAAATGATTTATTTTATGCAAACAGGGTGAATTTTCATGTAAAATATTTCTCACATAGACCAAAATGAGCTTTGAGGCATTCTGACTCATTCATATGGGAACACATCCTAGAAAAGAAGCTTCTAAAAAATAGATGAGTAAAGGAAGTGTTGCTAGAATTGGAAGGATGTCAGATGACATCAGCCACACTTTCCCACTTAACAAATGAACAAAGTCCCAAGATCCCATGGTGATTTTTATTTTGTTTTTTTATTATTTCCTGTTTCTTAAAATAACCCTTTCTTGCAACAGCTAAGATCACACAATTTGTGATACTCATTCTTTCTTACTATCATTTTATAAGCATTCACGTCTTTAAGCAAAAAGCATTAAACAGTCTCTAGAATCTAGTCCATTCTGGCAACCATTGTGATCTATGAATCAAAGAAGTTGATCTTTGAAGACACCTTTAGAAATCATGTAGACCAACCTCCTTATCTTCTGGTCTGGGGAATTTTGGACCAAAGAAATTAAATAACATATTTGAAGCTGCAAAGTTCCTGTGCTTCTGAACCAAAATTATGATGTATATGTTTGTGAGTCATGAGTCCTACATTACTTGGACTGTTCCATCTCTTTGGCTTTTGGTGGGGTCAGCCAGATTCATGACCAAAGGCAGAATATCTCCATTGTCCACACTGGCTGACTTTCCACTGTCGGCGCATTTAAAAGGTACATCCTGGCACTCATCAGAAAGAAGTCTGTAGTGAGCCTGTATAGGATTTCTTTCTTTTAAAAGTCTTAAAAATATTTTACAAATTGTTGGACTGTCTTAACTAATAATGATAACAGTAACAGTACTGGGCCTAGCTAATTTAACCAACATGTTCAATTCATAAAATCACAAGCTGACATTTGGAAGCATTGAACCTTAAATTTTTTCAAACATTTTAATCTGAAGAATTTTTCTGTTTAAAGCAAAATCACAATCTGTTTTGTCCATTTTAGAATTGAATCTTAGTAGCTTTTATATTCATACATTTGTGGTGAGTTTAAAAGTATTTATGTTCATATTATTTTATCTTATTAGAAATTAGAAAAATGGAACGTTAATATTTTTATTATAGGTCAAATCACTGGAAAGACTTTCCTCATTTCCTGTTTTTAGTGTCATGTGTAGCTTTGCCTTCTGTGTAAATGTGCCAATGAATAAATGTTTAGTAAACAATCATTATGCATCTCATTGTTTCACTCCTCCTGAAGATATTACCTGGTTTAAGTCTTAGTTTTTAGTTGTTGGTTAACTAGTTGAGGACAAAAGAATGTTTATCCATCAAATTATAGATCAGAGACTTCTCAAGTCATCATCTGAAGATTAACATTTATGATGAGCCAAGTACAGTAAACATTGTTAAGAGGTATTGTCCAGATGGAGATTGGTACAATATGTACATAGACAATTTAGCCATCCATTACCCGCTATATATTCCTGGAGTCAGATACTAAAACTATATTCCTAGTAAGAATGTTAAGTGGAATTTTGATAGAAAATACGAATTCTCAAACTTTTTAAGATGTTAGCCTCCAGACTCATGGGTGAGAGGAAAAAGCTAACTTCTTGTCTTACTATTAGGGAAATTTCTTACTGTGTATTTATGTATAATATTTTGGATCATGAAGATACAGTATTTATACTCAAAGCAACATCTGATGTAAAAGGATTTTCAAATGAAGAACCATTCAGGGTTCCCTACTGCTTATTAGGATGTCTCTCAGAATATATTGTGTGAACTCAAGAGTTTTAGTTGTGTTAAAAATGAGTGGACTATAATCACACCATATTTCCTTCCAGTAAATTTTGCCTGTGTGAGGACTTGCCATTTAATGCTTTGACACAGGCTTTGTCAGTGGTTAGCTGTCAGGGAAAATTCTGGTTTTGTCATTCTGTACACTTCTTGGGGGAAAAGTATGTCTTGAGAAGGAAATATTTCTTTGGGTAGTAGTGCTAGAATGTCTGACCTTATTTACGGATGATATTTTATTGAACAGATTTCTGTCTTTGTATTCTAATATCCTACCACTCTATTAGGAATAAATGTGTGACCTAAATGTAGGAAAGGCAGACGATTAAGTATTAAATTTGATGTGCATTTTTATTGTGAGCTTTCAGAAAAAGTTGCTAATTTTCATAGTTTGTCAAAAATGATGCATTTCAAATAAAAATAGAGTGTTTTCCTTGATAAAATGCTGAGTGGAAGTTTTAGTGAACATGTAGCGTTTCCATAATACAGTAGTTGATGCTAAATAATGAATGCATTTGAAATTTCTAGCACAGTTACTTTTGTGGATTGTCCTGAAAAGATACATGTCTACTTAATTTTTGCTCCTTTGTTGTAATGTCTAGAATAATTTACATTTTTAGAAATCATTCAAGAACATACATTTGTCCTCCCAAAATTTCCATAACTGTTTTAAAACAAGAATTATCATTTACTTTAAAAATTAAATCTTAAGACATGCTGAAATGTTCACACACTTTCTACACATTGCTCTTGTGCTATTTTAAGGAATAATATATAACACAGGAAAAGTGCACCCTGTGTAAAGTGGTGGCCACGTTGGTATAGTGCCACAGTCCTTTTTAACAGATTTGGACATTGGA